AGGCACCATGTGAAAGTTACCTGAAGTCACATAGACAAAACAGTTAAAAGATTTGAAAATAGGCATTTATTCATCTGTAGTCTTCTGAAACATTCCCCATTCTCCCTAGTTTATCAACATATACCACTGCAGAGCAATCTTAATAATCAATACAAAAATGATTATTCTGTGATCTTTAAAAATTTTGGCTAATATACTAAAGACTCTCCTACTGTCAGTTCTAAATATATAGGAATATGGAAAACATAATAAAATATTTACCTACTACACTGTAGCTGAAAACACTAGAAACATCGAGAATTAGTGTTTTATTTCATTGTAAAAATTTAAGAGTAGTTTGAACAATGCCTGGCTTCTCACTGTGTAGCTTATAATACGGGGAGGGCATCTTTTCTCATTCTTGGTGAATGCTCATACTCCTCTGAAACGTTACATCAACTTCTAACATTTTACCCTTTGAGCTTTTAATGTCACGAAATATCTTCAAGAGGTCCTTGAATGTGAGGGGTTTTGCCAGTAACACTACTCCTGGGACATCGTCATCCTTTTCATCACAACCACTTGACTCATTTATGTCAGTAAGGTCACCTTCACTAAGTTCCTCTGGCTGCATATGCACCAGGGTTGGCATTCCCAGCTACTTCTTCTATAACTCCATGTACATTAGATTTGAATTTGACGTCCAGTGTTATTTTTCATTTCTTTGCTACACTTTCATCTTTGTTGGCCAATTCCCTTTCAATTATCCATTTTTGTAAAGGGTAATGTGGATATTTAGCTGGAAGACCAGAAGGCAACACAACGCATACTCTGAATAACTGAGTAACAGATGTGCAGTGACCGATCACTGACAAACTTTGAAAAAAGTGACGTTGTTGTCACTGAGGACTATGATCATCTATATTTGCAAGTGATTTGTGGACTGAAGAGCTAGCAGGGAAGTTTGTACTTTATGCAATTACTAACACGATATATACTACGGTAACTGAAATTTGAAGCATGTTGTTTAGGGACTGGTGTTATTTAACTAAACCATGGTAACTGAAATTTGTGTATGCCAGAACTGTGCAAAGCAAGGACAGCCAATACCACACTCAGCCATTAATGAAAACAAAGCTCTATATAAACAGACAGGGAGAGATCTCTAAAACAGTCTTAAATGCAAAAATAATGTCTCAGAAAATTATATAAAATTGTCCCATTAAGGTAAGGCATATTTTTAATACACATATGTACGTAGATTGTGTTCATTCATTCAATAAATATTTATAGAATACCTACTCTGTGACTGGTATGTTCTAGGCACTAGTGATGTAGCAGTGAAGAAAATATATAAGGTCTCTGTCTTCTTAGAGCTTAAAATTGTCAGAGAGAGAGATAAAAAGAAAACAAATAAACAAGATAACTGCAGATAGCAGTGAGTGCCTTTAAAAAGAAAATAAAATAAGGTCATGTGCTTCACTGAAAAGTGACGGGGGGGGGGGGGGGGTTTTATTTTAGATAGAGCAGTCAGGGAAGGCCTCTCTGAGAAGACGACATTTAAGATGAGAATGGAATAAGGAGCCAATCACGATGATTATATGAAATCACCTTAAATCCTTTTTGAAGCAATGCAGAGACTATGTAAGTAAACTGCAATACCACATATGACGGGTCAGGAGCAGGAGTCTGTGAAGATACGGAGACATCACAGGAAGAAGAGGTCTTAAAAGAATTTGGCTGCTTTAGAAAAAGGTATACAGAAAAGGGGCACAGAATGAACTGAGTTAAAGCCCGAGGTACCTATACATGTAGATGAGATCCATCATTTCAAATAAGAAATCAGGAAGGAGGGAACAGACTTGGCAGTTTCTAAGGAAAAGTCAGGACGCAGTGTCCCAGCATCCATTACGGGTGGGAAGTCTCAGGTTCAAGGCTTTGCCCAGTCACTGGAGTCCCTGGAAGAGTGGGCAGTCGGCTCAGGCAGCTCAATGGAGATCCTAAGAGATACACACTCTGTCTTTGTGGAAATATCTGCTAAGTGTGTGTGGCACAGAGTGCCTGGTTAGTGTGGGTTCAACAAAACTCATGCTTTCCCTTTGATTGCATAGAGTTGTTCCCAAGAAACAGCTGCCTAACTGGAGACTACATTACCTAGTTCTCTCGTATCTGAGACTAAATAACTGGTTCACCAATGACATGTGCATGCCAAGGTCAGGTATCACTTCAGAGCCAAGGGAGTTAAGAAGAGGGTATACATACCTCATACTCTGGTCCAAAGCCAGCATAGCCACAGAACCGTCCAGAAAGTCTCCAGAGATAAGGGATTCCTCCAAAGAGAAGAATAAGCTATAAAACAAAGCATACTTTGGTCACATTTGACCAGTTCTAGAAACTATCATATGAGTGCATGTTATAAAGAAAACAAGACCTATCTCATTTAGGATAAAATATGCATTTAGATAAATACAAACCAATTGAGATTCTAAATTTAGACTGTTTAAAGGTTTTTGCCTATACATTTTATATGGATGAATTGTATGGTATGTGAATTATATCTCAATAAAGCTCTTTAAAGGAAAAAAACTTTTGCCAAAAGACCACAACAGAGGCATTGTGAATCAGGAGGTAAGCTTAAAAAGGCTAAGCAACTTGTCCAAAATCCCACAGCTAATGAGTGACAGAAATAGAATTTGAACCACGTTTTATGGCTCCATAATTGGCTTTTCCTTGAAAAGAAAACAGCCCTCTCTAGTCAGGACGAAGTGTTAGTATCAGCACAAGTGGAGTCATGTCCACTTGCCAAATTGGGGATAGAATGGGCTATCTGTGCCTTCTCTGGGTAAAGGAAAAGGTGAACCCTGAGGTAGCAGTCAGGGTTTCATAGAAATCGGCCCCTTTCCTCAGCATGCCCTTTATCTGGGGCAGATAAAGTGAACACAGATATTCACCAAATCACCAGGACATTCAAATGAGAATGCAGCTCTTAAAATCTGAGAATATATGTTTAAGAAATATGATTTCCCACAATAGATACTACGTTTGTAGAACTCGTTTTGTTAAGAGGAATCAATATGTTTCTTTCTGTGGAGCCTCAGGAACACAATGGTCAATCCTACTCCTTGGTCAGAAGCACAATATTCCCACCAGTTCAGACAGGCTTTGGGGGTTTGGGGCACTATAATACAGTTCATGGGTAGCCTCCCATCTATTTTCCATTTTTATATATGTATCCATTAATAATCTAGTGGTTTACATGTTTCTTTCAGAATGTATATGACATCACATCGTACTTATCATTCTACAACTTGCTTTTTATACATTACATTCTTTAGATCCATTCGCGGTGAGTTTTACCTTTATTCAGTATTATCTGACTGTTCTCTAAGGTGTTTATACAAACTACACTCCCATCAGCAATACCTGAGTGCTCCTGCTGCCCCACAGTCTCACCCACACTTGATGCTATCCATCTTTTAGACTTTTACCAGGATGCCGGGTTGGTTGAGTAGCATGGTTCTCCAATATTGTCCTTGGACAGTAGCATCAACATTACCTGAGATGCGTTAGAAACGCAAATTCTCAGGCTGCACGCCAGAACAACTGACTCAGAAATTGGAAGTGGAGCCCAGCAGTCTCCAGGTAAATCTCATGTACACCCAAGGTTGAAAATCAATGTTTTAATAAATTTCTTTTATAAAGGCTCCCTTTGCTCTATGTCCAGCTATTTCTACTTCACTACAACTAACTCAACCTTAGATGTAAATTCTGTTTTCCCAAAAGACATGCTTTGGCATCACTGTATGGTATAAGCTCCACTTGTTGAACTAATTGACTTGGGATGGCATTTCTTTCATCCTATTCTCAATACTAATAAATTATGCAGAATTATGGTTTTATAATGCTTTTGGTAAAAGGTGGGAACACCTACTATTAAAAGTCCAGCTTTTAAATAAGTATCAAGGGTAGCTTTAATATAAACTTTATGCATCTATGAATGCATTTGGAAACTGCTGTTGCAACCTTGTTTAGTATACTTTAGGGAATGAAAAACAAAGGCCAGTGAAGAGTAATGTTTCTCTATATTGATAATCTCACTGAGCACGCTCCTGTGGATGTCTTATAAAAAGAACTAGCGATCTCAACAAAAACAAGTCCAATGTTGGGCCGGCCAAGTGGTGCATTGGTTAAGAGTTGTCTTGAGATGCCAGCTCTGTGTAGCAGGGCCCCGGTTCGAATCCCACTTTAGGGCCAGTGATGCTGTACCCTCTACAGCTAAGATGGTGAACAATAGCTCGACCTGGAGCTGGGCTGCCATGAGTCGCCGGTGACAGCGTAGGCTGCCGTGGAGCTGCAGTGGGCTCCTGTAAGCGGCCAGCAGCCGGCATGAGCTGCCAAGAGCCACAGTGAGCGGCCGTCCAGTGGCTGGTGACGGATCTGCCTCGCCCGGGAAGAGCGTAATGATGGTGCCAACGTGGGCCAGTGAAGCAACATCCTCCACAACTAGACTGAAGAACAAAACGACAGCAACATGTCTGTTCCCCTTCCCCCAATTCCCCAGCACTGTTCCCATCCCCCCAATTCCCCAATTAAAAAAAAAAATCAATATTGAAAAGACTAATTACTACTATTCACTGTCTACCCCAAAAGCCAATGCAATTTTAGTTTTTAGATCATTTATTGATTTTTCTATAATAACAAGATTTAACTTTTCCAGAAGTTTTGCCATTTTCCATCATCTTGAGGAAATGGGAGAGATTTCCAATAACGCGGTTGTAACCACACTAGTCTTGCTATTCCATATTTGTCAAGGCAAATTTTGTGACTGGATAGACAATTCTGTCATCATTTAACAAAGCTACCAACAGCCGGTTTCTTCTCACTAACTAATGAAACAATGATGATAAGCCGATCTCAATTATTTTCAATTTAGGAATCTTTCTCTTAGTGGTACAGGGGATCTTAACCAGTTATGGAGGCATAGTGATGATAATCATGACCACGATAATAAAAACAATAACAACCAACACTTATGGAGCACTTACAATGGATGAGACACTGTTCTAAGCATCTTACATATATTAACTCATTTAATCTTCTCAACAACACTGAATGAGGAACTATTACACCATACAATTTTAATGGATGAGAAAACTGAGGCACAGAAGTGTCAAGTGACTTGCCGGAGGTCACACATAGCTGAGATTCAAACTCAAGCCTGAGATTCAAACTCAAGCCACCTGAGTTTAGAGTCAGCTCTTAACCTCTACCCTATGCACTTCCAATTGTTCATGGGGGGTGGGAGACCAAGAATTGGTTTTAGAGGGTGGAAAAAAATCTTACTCATTTTATGTATAAAGCACAGATATACATATACATACATACATACAGTACAGAAACAGATATACAGTGCATCTGCGGCATTAAAATTTCATGGAAGGGCAATTAGGAAAAAATGTCTAAAAAGATACATGGTCAGGGGCCAGGGGAGAGTATGAAAAAAAACCTGCAAAACACTGCTCTACACTACAGAGCCTCTCCTCTTTTAGCGTAGGGGTAAGACTGGCCCTGTTTTGCTAAGTGAAAATGATCTGTCACTCATTGTTTCATTCAATAAATATGAATTATGTGCTTATTATATACCAGGCACTAGGTATAAAATGATGAACAAGACTTTAAAGTACTTTCTTTAAGGAACTACCAATCTGTCAACTAAACAGCAAATTCAATACAAAGTGATAGTACTCTGATAGGAATAACGATGGGATGCTACGTTTTGCAGACTTGGGGGACAGGGGACGTTTCAAACAGTTTCTTAGAAGAGATGATGTCTCAGCTGGATTCTGATGGAAGAGCAGGAATTAATTAGCCTCCAGTGGAGATGAAGAGGGAGCAGAAGGGCACTCCAGACAAAGATACCAGAATGTGAAGACTCAAAGTCATAAACCAAGCTGGGTATGAGATGGGAAATAAAGAAGGGGAAAGAATTCGGGGGAAGGAATAAAAAGATGAGGCTCAAGTAAGCAATGGCCAGGTCAAAAGGGACTTCATAAACCATGCCAGGAAATATGGACTTCACCCTGAAGGAAACAGCGAGCCAGTGAAAGGTTTTATGTAGGAGAATGACATGATGAAAATTATTCTTCAGAATTCCTCTGGCTGCAATGTGGAAAGACAGGTTGTAGAGTTAAGGTAGGGGCATGAAGACAAGTAGGGACTGTTACAAGAAAAATAACATAAGGTTCTTTTTCACAGCTGGCCTCAGGGTGACAGTTACCATATTCCATAATTTTCAACTGACTAAACAGTTATGTTTCTACCTCTTTTGCTCCACACCCATTGCTATCAATAACAAAGGTCAGGAAAGCATTCTCGGATTTGTAGATATGGTACCTTCTTTTGTGTCACAAAAAGGAAAACAAATGTTACAAAGTATTAAACAATTTGACAGATTGTCTCTTCAGGAAATAAAGTACTCACAGTGCCTTCAATTTCTGAATAGAGTCCTGACCAGAAGCTGAAGGTACTTTTATCCAGCTGATAAAGTCGAGATTTCTCAAATGTTTCTGAATCCATGATCTGTCCTAACTCCAGTGGTACATGAGTTGTTGTTTTATATATCCGTCTCTGAAATATTTTGAAGAAAATACTTTAATGAAACAGTCAAACCCATTCATTATTTATTGCAAGTCATTTATGCTCAAACATTGAATGGTTTATAGCATTAGCTTGTCGCTTAAGCCTGTTGAATTTGCTTTATACATACACAAATATTGCATTTGATCAAGTACACTGTCTACTAAAACAACTGATGCAGGAAACTAAAAGCAGAACTAGAGAGCCTGAGACTAGCTGACTAGGTAAAATTAAAAGTAGGGTTGTCATCACACTTCAGTTTGCATATGTAAACCAAAATTGTAACATCACAAACAATACCGCTCATTCCAGGTATAAAATACATTCTATAATGAAAAATTCATGGAGAGAAGGAAGCAGATATACTAACCATGAGTATTAACAGATATTGTGGCTAGTCATTAAATTTGGTCCTAGAAGCCAAATTAAGGGAAATTTGAGGAATGACAGACAGAAACATATCAGATCTTTGAGAGAAAGACAAATTTTCTCATTATGCCAAATTCTAAAAGGTAATTTCAGCCCATGTTACATAATACAGGGAACAGATACGAAACAACATAATGGGCATCATTTTCTGCAATGGTTTTACGACACATGGCTTCTCTATTGTTGTGCTTCTTACCAAACCCTCAATAAAAGGCATTACATGAAAGCACAACTGAGTAAAGAAGACAATATAGAAAAGTAGTTACTGTAACTCGGCTTATTATTAAAGTAAGACAGATAGATGTCCAATACCCCATCCCGAATTTAGACACTACATACTGTGTTTACTTTATGAAAGTATCTTCTGTAGGACCTACAAAGAGTTATGTCTGAGAACATAGCGCTACACAGCTTAACATCTCTTCGAATATCCTGGACTAAAAGAAGAGATCAAGATATAATCCAGGGCCGGCCGAGTGGCGCGTTGGTTAAGAGCTGGCTTGGGATGCCAGAGGGCCCCGGTTCGGATCCCACATATGAGGGCCAGTGACACTGCCCTCTACAGCTAAGATGCTGAACAACAGCTCAACCTGGAGCTGGGCTGCTGTGAGTCTCCGGTGACAGCGTAGGCTGCAGCCCCTGTGGCAGTGGGTTGCCATGGGCTACCGTGTGTAGCCAGCAGCCAGCGTGAGCAGCCAGCAGTCACCATGAGCAGCGGTCCAGAAGCCAGCGACTGATCTGTCTCGCCCAGGAAGAGCGCAATGATGATGCCAACTTGGGCCAGTGAAGCAACGTCCTCCACAACTAGACTGAAGAACAAAAGGACAGCAACTTGTCTGTTCCCCTTCCCCCAGTTCCCCAATAAAAAATCTTAAAAAAAAAAAGATATAATCCAGACCTTAACAGATATAGAAAAATAAAAAATTTCAATTTAATGACTCATGCAGAATGTAAACTGAGAGAAGAAATTTTCAGAGGAAAAAGACCACAATGCTCAAGAAAAAGAGTTCCGGCAGTTAAAAAGAGAAAGGTTTTCATAACCATAATGGTTGACATAATTCAGAAACAACACAGAAGAATGTACAGCAGTGAGAAATTGCAATAAAGCAGTCACTTCAACTTAAAATCCATCTCATTTAAAAGTTCATCTCTCTAATCCATCAAGCTGTTAATTACGATTACTTCTAGGGAACTGTTATTAAGTAACTTTCACTTTCTACATTACTGTTTTAATTGTTTAAACAAAAACAATAAAAATGTTTTTAAGAACAACAACAAAAAAAAACATTGTTCTTTGGGCAAAAATAATATAATGTATACACTTTTCTTCCTTAAAAAAAAAAAAAGAGTTCAGGTCCTTGAAAGGATTGAGAAGTCTTTATTTTCAGAAAAATGGTTTCCTAAGCCTATGGCTGAGCATGATTACACAATTGTCATGAGGAAGTTGTGATTCTAAAACATTAGCATCTTCCTTTTGAAGGCTTATCAGTCAGTGCCAAAGGTAAAGAAGGCAAGTCTGGGCCCGAGGATCCTAAGCTGTGGAGCAGACACAAGAGCTAAAGCCTGACAAGGCGGCAGCCCTGCCTTCCCTTTCACCAGGCCCTAACCGGCCTGGGTCCGACGATCACATTGCTGAAAACGTCCCTAAGGCACCAGATCCTCTCAAGGCCAATCCCGCCGTTAGGCCAAGTTAGGAGGCTCAGTAGGGACCCAGAGGGTCCAGGCTGGTGCTGGGGCCACAACATCCATCCAGGAACTTGGGGTCGAGACCGAGGCTAGCCTAAGGGCTGGCCGGGTGTCGGGGTTAGATGGGCCCTGTCTCACCTGCCTCTGTGCTAGGAAGGTCTCCCAGAGATACACCGTCCAGGAGAAGAGCAGCACGGCCCCGAAGATACGCTTCTCGGCCGGCATCTCCCACATCGGGTCCAGAGATGCCCACATCCCCATGGCCACCTGGTTCCGCCGGCTCCTTCAGCGTGCAACGGTGCCACACCAACACGGTCCCCTCAAAGCGTCCCGGCAGTGTCACAGCAATATCCGTCCCTTCCGAGCGCCCCAGCACTGACACCTGCCTCCATCCCACCCATTCCGCTCAGCCTGCAGTGTTACACAAACACTCTTCCCCACGATGACGCCCGCTAGGGTCGCCAAAGTTTTTGCCGGAATAGGACCAGCCTCGCCTTCCTTACTTCCGGCCTGAGGAAGGCGGGAGCCCAAATGCCAAGTTCCGGCGTCCGCCAGCTCCAGCTCCGGCGCCGGACCTGACCACGCTGAGCTGCGTTGCACCAACATTCTTCCCCTCCCCCTCCACGCCAAGTTCCTATGGAGGGTTCCGGTTTCCCTCCTGAACCCGGCAGCGCGGCTGAGCTCTCGGCTTTGTGGCTTCCACAGTGGCAATTGCATCTCTTCGCTTCGGGGCTTGCCTGGCTGGGCTGCGGCCTGTGCCGTACGTTCCCGGCAAGGACAAGCCCACTGGGAGATGGGACTGAGCGGGAACTGACACAGAGTGGGCTGGGAAGGTAGCTGGGAATTAAGCGAGAGGAGCCTACTTCCAAGTCTCTATAGAGACCATTGCTCTTACTAGTGCTATTCTAACTGTGGTACGTTCATCCCTGGGATACCTTAAGACTAAAGGGATAGTTTAGAGCGAGACTAAGCATTATAAGAGCAGTATTTTGGCCTGTATCGGGGTGTTCTGAATTCAGGCGTGTTAAGAGAGTGCGCGGTAGTGATGAGTTTTTATTAAAGATCTTGCCTTTTCCACCCCAACAGAAGTTAGAGGCGGCATTTTGCCTGAGAGTGCGCCCTGGAGCAAAGCAAGGGCAGCGTAGGTTAGAAATACCTGAACTGAAAGGGTCTTACTTGATCCAGGGCCAAACTTACATCAGAGCTCAGTGCCATGTCTGCCTTGGAATTCAGAAATGAAATGTGGTAACAGGAACGCCTGTTAACACATCTGTTTGACTTGAAAAGTGAAATTTTTTTCTGACCGAAGATAAGTCTCACTTGCTTAGTTGCTTTGACAAAGAGACTGGCGTTGCTAATTTACATAATTATTATTTACAATTGAACTAAATCTGCAGCTGCAACTAAAATATATTTAAATTACAGTGATATTGTAATGCTAAAGATGTGTTGAAATTAACAATATCTTGACTTTCCCAACTCTTCCTAAACAATTCTAAGTGAGAGTAATAATTGTCACTTGAGAACGTGATGGACTCTAATGACATGATAACACACTTTTTTGCAAGTCAGATTGTTTCCAGCTCTTTGCTTTCAACAAAATTGGTGGTGGACCTAATTGAACTGTCAGCTAATGAAGGAACATTATTTGATTTTTGGCATATACTCGATACGAAAACAAAGAATTGATTGACATTGTAACAAAACTATTATCCTCATTTATTTATGTGAGTAAATCTTTCTTGGCATTATATCTATGAAAACAAGAAATCTAGCAATAAGAAAGTCATTCAGACACATGAATTAATCTCACTGAGAGATGCATTTCCAGTAGGATTTTACCTTTTATGTTTATGTATTATCAAAATTTGTAATTGTATCATTTTGAGCAGATTTTTTTATTAATTATAATGATTAGTCAATTCAAAGAATTCTGATACATAGGCCCATACCATTACAGGAATTTTTTTAAAGTTTTACTTTAATACATACAAATTTATCACAAAGAAGTGATCAATAAAAGGTTTTTCAAACATAAAAATATTACATTTGGATAACATTTTATCGGGGAGTAGAATGTAAATGTAAATTAGAGATAAAAGAACAATGTAGAATTAACAAATATTAAAAAGCTTATTTGTGTAATTCTTAAGCGGATGATGATGCTTATTCAAGTGTTATGTAGATTTTGTTGGATACATTATAAAAAGTGATTTTAGGTTTTATCTTAAATTGTCATTATTTACAATTTACCAGAATTTACACTTATTGCAACTATTTAAATTAATGATGAAAACTTTTAGATGCCAACTTTAAAATATGATGGGATAAACACTTTTTCAGAATTCTCTCTCCCTTGGGCTGTCCTTGCTTTGCCCTCTTTACTCTTTTCTCCTTTATCTGTCTGGGTCCATTCAGTCTGCTACAGTTAGTCCAAAGCCTCACAGAAGCTCCTGCCACCCACACTTTGGCTAAGAGCACAGGTTTAGTTAAGCTGCATAAGTAGCTACACCACATATTAGCAAGCTACTTAACATCTCTGTGAATCAGTTTCTTATCAGTAAAATGAGAATAATAGTATTTACCTCCTCATATTGTGAGTATCAAATGAGAAAAATCATGTAAATCTCTTAGCAATGTATCTGGCTTGCCCTATAAGAATAGCTACTAGCTCTCTATACTTGGGAGAATCATCATAGTGTTGATGTCACCATTTGTCAAGAGATAGGGGAACAGGAAGCTGGTATGAGGTTCTTAAAAGTCAAGACTAATTTACTTATTCATTTGACAAATATTGAGTGTCTGCTAAGTACCAGACATTGTTCTAGGTCCTGGGGATATAGTAGTGAACGAACCAAAGTCCCTTACTCTCGTAATGCTTACATTCTTAGTGGGCTGGGGTGGGTGGAGGGGTTGATAATAAGCAAATATGTTACCGTAAAAGTGAAGGAGGTGATAAGTGCTAAGAAGAAAAAGGAAAAGGAGGACATAGCATGTTGGCATGAGCGGCACTACTTTATATATAAGATGGTCAAGGGGGCCAGCCGAGTGGCTCAGTTGGTTAAGAGCTTGCTCAACAGTGCGAGCTCTGAGCAACAGCGGTTCGATTCCCGGCCCGAGCTGAGCAGCCGCTGAGCTGCCAACTGGTGGCAGGATGGCTCAGCTAAAAAAAAAGAAAGAAAAAAAAAGATGGTCAAGGAAGACCTCTCAGATTAGCTTACATTTGAGCACAGACCCAAAGAAAGAGAAGAAGCCATAGAGCAGCAGTTCTCAAGCTGTGGGTCATGACCCCTTTGGGGGTTGAACGACCCTTTCACAGGGGTCGCCGGGTACTCATATGTGGGCCTATCTGCATGTGGGCCTGATCACGGATAGAGGAGCAGTGTCTCGGTTCCTAAGACCATCGAAAATATGTGTTTTCCAATGGTCTTAGGTGACCCCTGTGAAAGGTTGAGAACCGCTGCCATAGAGTATCTGGGGAAAGTGTGCCATGCACAATGGACAGCAAGTGCCAAGTCCCTGAGGTGGGACAATGCTTCTTAGGATATTTGAGGAATAGTAAGATAGTGTAGAAAAAGTGGAGAGAGTAAGAAGGAGGAGGAGTGCAGATCATGCTATTATGCACAGTCTTAAGAACTTAACTTTTACTCAAAGTGAAAGAATAAGCCACTGGAAGATTTTGAGCAGAATAGTAACATGATCTCTTTGACTATTGTGTAGAAAACAAAATGAATGGGGACCCAGATGGAAGAAGGGAGTCCAGTTAGGAGGCCATTTCAAGAATCCAGGTGAGAGATGATGGTGGCTTGGGCTAGAGTGATAGCAGTGGAGGGAGAAGTGAATTATGGAAAGGGAATAATCACTTGTTCCCCTTTGCAGAAAGATAGTGGCAATAGAGGGGCTTGTCTGTCTAGAGGCTGAAATGAGAGCCTCAAAATAGGAGACAGGCAGGATTTTGCCAAAGGAGACTGAATTTGGAGGATTTCTAGGGAAAAGAATTCTTTTCTCTGGAGTGGTGGTACAAGGTAGTTCATCTACCCCATCTAATCTGAATGATCAAATAGCTCTCAAGCCCTTTCCCTAGCTTGCCTTGATTCTCTGATGCCAAGCATCCAAAGTCCCTTATTGATGCCCTGAACATTAGTGCTCTGATCTCAAGAAAAGAATCACTGGGAAGGAATACTTCGTATCAATCTCTTATGATTGTGGTGTGAATCACACATTCCTACTGGGAGCTGAGAGCCAGGAATAAGGTGGCCCCATCAGTTTCTACCACACTTTGCATCTAGCTCATTCTGTTTCCCACACAGATTACCAAATCGATTTAATCCAATTTAAAAACCTACCATGGTCCATTTCCAACAATATGGTAAAACCTTTAAAGGCCCTTCATTACCTGTCTACTCTTCTAGGCCCTTCTCCAAACACTTTCCTTTGATATAGCCGAATGGTAATCAAGACAAAATGACTGGAACTATGCAGGAAGACACTGAAATTTAGATAGCACCAAAAATTAAGACATTGACTTTAAAAGATCGCATTCCTTCAGCAACATAGTTAACAAACTTCTCACCTACACTGTCAGATTATGCCCATTGTTGATAACACCCATCTGTTCACCACATCATGAATTAAAGCTGATTTGAGGATGAGGTTACTGTGTCTTGCCCTAAAGCCAGAATCCTTCCCTGTAGCTCTGGAAATAGCCAGTTCTTCAGCCACCCTGAAACTCGCCTTGTTCTCCAGGCAAGCCACCCTCTTCTTTATATGGCTCCACGATGATCCCACCAGCAGAAATACCTTTCATTTCACTTTCAACCTATGTAACCCTTTATGGGACAACTCAGTGTCACCTCTGCAAAGCCTTTCCTGGCCCCCACCCTATATTCACCAATCAGCTTTTGCACTGAGTACACTATACAGTGAAATCTCATCTTACTTTTAACATCACTGCAGTGGACAAAAATCATGAACAAAATTACCCTTGGAAATCCCTTATGAAGATGCCACTTGGGAGACTGCTATATTGTCTCCTGTTGAACAGCATAGCTGGTTTTTGTCACACAGCAATAAATCACTGTTTATTTGGACAGCAAATGAAATATTTCATCTAGGCATCAGTGTTTCAAGGAATGTAATCATATTTATTGTGGCAATAACGCACATACTCTAAGGCTTGTGGACCATCTACTATCTTCTCCCCAGTAGGCCATCTTTCTTGTCAGGGTACACACTCAAATTGAGTGTAATGGCAAGTAGGTGCCTCCTTCCTTTTCTTCCCTCCCTGCCATGCCAGGATTCACATAAGAATTTCCTTAAGTTCAAGATGTTATGACCCCACTGTATGTAACTCCTTGTTCTGAAATTACCTGTTCAACCAGCTAAATGAGTACTCCTGAAGTACTCAAAACAGATTCTCAAGGATTATCACAATACTTAGCACAGAAGAAGTATCAGTAAAAGTTGGATAAAATGGGGCCAGCCGAGTGGCACGATGGTTAAGAACTGGCTTGGGATGCCAGAAGGCCCCAGTTCGGATCCCACATATGAGGGCCAGTAACATTGCCCTCCACAGCTAAGATGCTGAACAACAGCTCAACCTGGAGCTGGGCTGCGTGAGTTGCCGGCAACGGCGTAGGCTGCAGCCTCTGTGGCAGTGGGTTGCCATAGGCTACCATGTGTAGCCAGCAGCCAGTGTGAGCGGCCAGCAGCCGCAATGAGTGGCCGTCCAGAAGCCCGCGGCAACTGATCTGCCTCGCCCGGGAAAAGCGCAATGATGGTGCCAACTTGGGCCAGTGAAGCAACGTCCTCCACAACTAGACTGAAGAACAAAACGACAGCAACTTGTCTGTTCCCCTTCCCCCAATTCCCCAGCGCTGTTCCCATCCCCCCAATTCCCCAATAAAAATCTTTAAAAAAAAAGTTGGATAAAATGAAACATTCTCCTTTAATCCACCCCCACCCTTGCCTACCTCTGAGTAACTAATGCAGGGAGATTCCTGGGCCAAATATTTAACCTTTAGGTCAAAGACCAGCACAAGGGCCAGCCTACCTCTGCAAGACAGTCCACAGCATTACCTTTAAACAGCATTTTCTTGCTGGTTTTATTATATCCAATCCAACAAGGCCATATCCCTGACCATTCTCTCTTTCCCCCCTTTTATGGATTCCAGTTTGGTTAGCCTTTACTCTATGGCTGCTTACTGTCTCCAGCCTACAGAGTGGGCACCACTATTCCCCACTTTGCCCCACCACACACACAAGTAGAAGAGGGACCCTACTGAATAGAGAGCCAGTCCTTGCAGAGTAATTTCTATATAGGTCTCTATCTTTATTGATACACCACTGCACACATGAGGGGAAAAGTGCTTTTTTGGAAAAGATTGAAGTCCATCACATTTCAGATGTGGAAGTGAACCCAGATGTGGACAAGGGGCTCTGGCAGTCAGAGCAGCTGCAGTCGGGATCGGAGGAACAATCCCTCTTCGTAGCAGATTTTTTGGAAATGATCATCCCCTCCAGGTCCTTCACTTTGTTTTCCACTGCCTGAAGTTTTTTCAAAATTTTATCTTGCAGACCCAAGGACAGGAGCAAATTATTATTGTCTTCAGTTGGGAGACTAAATCCTGGGTTGCCCAACAAAGCCTGAAAAAAATCTGAGCCCTTCTTGTAAAGTTTGTAGAGTGTGATTATAAACACCAATATTTTCTAAAATAAAACAGAAGTTGAATGTTACTTGCTTATTCATGTGAAATGCCAGTTTACTATAGATGCAAAACAAAACAAAAACCTAATAGTAAACATAACCTCTCCCTCTTTTGCCAAGCCTTCTGTTTAACAAAACATCTTCACCACAAAATAAGAGTGGTAGGCAGCTCAGGGATTATTATTTGCTTTTATGAATAAGGATTATAATAATAGATACCATTTGCTGAAAGTTTGCTACACGCAGGGCTCTGTGCTAGGAGTTTCCTTGCCTACGCATGACCTATTTATGTAGAAAAAACAGAACTGAATATCCTTTTAGATACCTTCCAGTTTGGACTCTGTCATTATCCAATGTCATATACCTGGATATGGTAGAGCCAGTACTGGAATAAAGGAATTCTAAAAAACTGAATTTCCTGGTCATGGAAAAAAATTCTTTTTCAATATTCCAAGACAGATTCCTGCCACAATAAGAAACAAACAAACTCAATCATCTTTTTTCCTTACTGTATTAATAATACACTAGCACTGCTTATTGAATACTTATTATGTGCTAAGCTTTATCCATACAGTATCTCTTTGAATCCTCACAACAGCCCTGAGGGAGGCACTGTTAGCATCTTACAGATAAGGAAGCTGGGGTGTAGAGGCTAAGTGATTGCTCTGAGGCCACACAGCAAGTGCTGGAACCAAGACTTAAGCCCCAGCCGTGGACTCCAGAGCCCGTACTATTTACCAATCTGTTATATTACCTCTTCTTCTTGGCTGAGGTGTCCGGAGGGCTGCGAATTCATCTTTGTGATTGAGATAAACATTAACCATACAAGAGCAGAATCCAGAATTACAGATAAAGAGTTTGGTTTTTTGCCTTATATTCTATTAGCTAATTAAAACACATATGTCTGTGAATATGTACACACACATATCTCCATGGGGGATGATTTGTCAGATTAAATGAAATTTTGGAGAATTAAATTTACAATCCTAAAAGTTGGGTTCAAATCTCAGCTTTTCCAATCTTGGGTAGGAGAGAGCCAAGTTCCCTCACCTACAGAATGGCGATGATAATCCCTGCCCTGCCTACCATGCAGGGTTTTGAGAAATGAAGAGAATCCATGTGACCGTGATTCTTCAACAGTAGAGAGATTATGAAAATAGGTGAATGCTACAAAACGATCCGGCATTTGCCGTGTAAACCAGTCACTCTTTAAGAAAGCCCTTTTTAAATCCTACCTCCTTCAATTTCCACTGAACCACATTTCACCTCTGGTTTCCTGTTTGTCATATGAAAATAACTTCTATCCATTTCATGGAATTGTTAGGATTCTCAAAGCATTTTGACTATATTGTAAATATAGCTATTATTATTAATTAAACAGAAGTAGGTAAAGTCTTAAAATGTTTCTCATAATCCCAGCCAATTATACTCTTATTCCCCAAAAAGCCCCTATATATTTATGGGACCCTATCTTGTTAAAACAAGGAAATACTGAAAACCACGATGAGTAAATGGATATGTGTGCCTCCTCATCAGTTACAGACCAGTGAATGGCACAGTAATAACCCAAGATCGCAGTTATACCTGTAGTGCCTGTTCTATAAAAGATACCCCACCTGGTGTCAGGCACATAGTAGGCAAAGATCAATTAGATCAAATAAATTTGGGAGTATGCCTGCCTTATCAGGTTATAAACTTGTTTGATCTACTTTAAGACAAGCCGAAGACCATTGTGAGAAAGAGCATTTTTATGCTCGAGACCTAATTGGTACGTTTTTAAGGTTAGTTTCAAACTACTTCAGAGGCAAGGGTTCCCCCTTGCTCATCTGCATGGTCTTAAAACTGGGTGGCAGCCACATGGGAGAGAATTAATCAAATTTCCATTTATAACTATTTAGATTTCTCTGTAACAAAAGAATATAACCTGAATTGACCGAACACTTCGTTTCCATAAGGCATATAGTCCTACTCCCAAGAAAACAACAAAGAAAATCCCCAGGATAACTTGCACAGCTGAAGCCAAATAATCTAGTAGCCCCAAACTGGTTTGTTGAGGTGTTCTAGTCTCTCCCAGAAGAGTTGCTTGTAGCCAATTCCATATTGAGCTCAGAGAGACATAATCTAGAATGTGGTCCCAGATAGATGAAGGTGAAAATGTTGACATTTTAGTAAGACAGCAGCCTCAGGAGCTACATGTGCAGAGGCTTCATATCTGAGTTAGCGCGAGTGGCCTGGGTGGGAGCCCAGGCATTCTGGAGCCACTGGGAGCTGTGCTTTGTGATGTCACAGCTCCAAAGGTCAGCTTGCTTCCCACTCACCTAGTGAACCTTCTCACTCAAAACCAACTGGCTGGGGTTTTCATTTCAGGCATATTGCTTTCTGTGATCTTGGGCAAGTCCTAGTTCTAGCCCAGCACACTGTACAATATAACTTGCTGCAAAGCTGGGCATGTTCTATATCTGCCCTGTCCAATATGGTAGCCACGATTCACTTGAAAGGTGGATAGTGTGACTGAGGAACTGAATTTTACATTTTAGTTGATTTTAATTAAACTTTAAGTAGCCACAGGTAGCTAGTGGCAACCTTCTTGGCCAGTGTAGATATGGACCATGTTCAAAGAATCCATGGAAATGGACAGGAATTATTTTCATGTAACAAATGAGAAAATTGAAGCTACCTGGAGATTTGTGGAGATAGGATTTTGAGGGTGCTTTACTAAAGAGTGGATAGTTGAGTTTGTCAATGTGGAGGGAGGTTATTACTGGATCATTTCGTAGCATTCCATTTTCATAGCTCACTATTGTTTAGAAATTGTGATCTTTGAGGCTTTTAACATATCTGATCCTCATTTTGCTCATCTGTTTCCAGAGGGGGATTCCACCTTCTTCACAAGGTTTCTATCAGAAACAAATGGCCTAATTTTCTAAGCACTTTGTAAATACTAGCATGTTGCACTGTTTGACATGTCATCAAATCAATTATTTACTGAGTAGTATCCACCTACTCAGCAAGGAGGTATGAAAATATAAAAAGCTTACATGAAAAAAAGACAGTTCATACACAAGTATATAATCTAAACAGTGAGATTAGTTACAAAGACAGCAAGAATCCAACAGAGGGTTTGCATCAAGAAGAGGCACCATAAGGAAGGTGAAAAAGGGTCCGTTATGACAATGTTTAGAAAATATTGTATGATGCTATTTCAAGTTGTTCATTCTGGTTGACTGAAACAACAGGAACAGGGAAGGCTGGTGGGGAATAATTTTTGTTTTTGCAGGAAGGGGACCTATGCTAAGTTGCTTAAGGTGTCAGACACACATCCATAAAATGGAGTCTAGAATGCGGCTGGAAATACAGGGCGAAATGGTTTAGGAGTGGCTGCTATTGATGTTTAACCCAGTCAGCTAGTGATCAACTAGCCAGAATCCTTTCAAGCAAGGACTGAAAGTTACTCAGATAAGACTTAGGATTTGACTGTAATAGGTTAAACACAGGTTAGAAACCATTCAAGAATGGTAACCAGAAACTTTTTGGAGAAAGATATGGTTGTGACAACTGCATCATCACCTGAGACTCCCTACACTACATTAGATCCCCATTACATGGTACCTTATACACATACTTCCAAAGCACTTAACACAGCTGTAGTTATTTGTGCAATTTTTGGTTTAATATCTGTCTTCCCTATTGTAAACTCAAGGAAGACAGGGACCATGCCCATTTTATTGACTACCGTATCCCTAGTGCTTGGTACATAGCAGGCACTAAAATATTTTTAAGTTGATGCGACATTCCCTGGAAGAATTCCAAACATCTTAATAGCCTCAATTGTTTATTCATCAAGTGCCTATTATCATTTGTGTACTAATTTGTACAGAAGCTTTACGGAGCAGCTGATATGAGGACAGGCCTCTGGGAGTATAGTGGAACTGGGTTCAAATTTTGCCTCTACTAGTCACTAACCTTGTTACCTTGGGCAAATTACTTAATCTGGGGCTCAATTCTTCATTTGTAAAGTGGGAGTAATTCTTACCTTGTAGAGCTGTAGTGAGAATGCAATAATTTGTGTAAAAGAACTGTACATGCTACACATATAAATAAGGGCAACTATTATTTGTAGTGATGTTTATGACCAAATACAAGGTATTGTAAATATCAATATAAGGTGCCTTTAAGAGAATCTAGGCCAAAAAACCCATTTGATTCCCCACTTATAGACAGCTGAAAACCTCCAATGACCAAGAATTTATCACTATAAAAAGCGTCTCAGCCCACCTTGACATGGTACCATCCATCAACCTATCCAGCCAGCCAGTCAGCCATCACTGTCACATATACTCAGTGGTCATCCACATCATGCCATTAGGACTTTTTGACTTATACACGAAAACTTATGACATGAAACGCTTACCTCCAAGCCTTTGATAGGTTCTCTGTTGCCTTTCAAACAAAACTAAAAATCTAGAACATGGTTACAAGGCACTAAAATACTTGGTTCTGGCTTTCTTATCCAACCCTCTCTCCTTCCCCTTTCCCATTTAATATTTTTATTAAGATATTGCTAACATACAATATTATGTTTCAGGTGTACATCATAGTTATTCAGCATTCCTTTCCCATTCATTCTTTCAGCTCTAGCTGTGCTAGACTTGTCAATGTCATTACCACACCAAGCTGTTGCACCACAAAACCTTTGCACATAATTAGATTATCCTCTCTGGCTAACTCCTATTGATTCCTCAGATTTCAGTTTAAACATCATCTGTTCAAGAAAACGTTTCCTGTCCTCTTTCTGGTTACCATCAGTCAGAGCGTCTATTGCACTTTTAAGTAGTTATTTTTAGTGTTTCATTTAAAGTTCATCGTCCTTACTAGACTCTAATCTCCATGATGCAAGAAACTGTGTCATTTTCAATACTCTTATCCCCAGAAGCTAGCAGATGTTATGTGCTTTGTAAATATTTGGCTATAGCTTTTCCATGCCTTTCTCGTCTTTTCCAGGCTAAACGTGCCAAACACAGGTTGACAGGTTACATCTGACTATCCTGGTTACCTTTCTCAAAGTGGTTCCAACCTCCAAATGTAGTCTACCACAGAGTCTATTCCTCCAGGTGGAGACCCAGCAGGTCAGAGGCAAGTGGCCCACTCTTTCTAGACTCACCTTTACATAACAGGAGGCTTTGTCCCTGGATCAGCAGTACAAAGCCAGGAGGCACCACAGTCTACTGTGGGGTGGGAGGTGGGGAAAAGAGGGGATTGAGCAACTTTTATGACTTAGAAGATTCAAGGGAAATTGACCTTTTCACAGGTTACGTTATTCACAGAAACAACACGCATCCGTTTTCCATCTCTCTCTTCACATGAGGAAATGTCAATACTGGATGTATGACTGGCGTTGGATCTGCATGAGAGAGGATAGGTTGGGAATGAATCCCTAGGAAGGCTAATTAAAACTTTCTTCTCCATCGTTTCCTACCCTCTCTTTTGCATATGTACTCATGAACATGGGGAGACATTGAAACGAGAATTTTGGGTAAAAAGCAACAATGAACGTGTCTGGTACTCTCTATCATTACACATCATTTTAGGAGGCAATCTTACATTGAAAAAGGCTTTGAAAACAAAGTCAATGTTTCCAGGTCTGGGACAAATCCCAGAAACATCAATAAAAATAATAGTACTAAAAGCTACAAAAATAACCCTTTGACTGGTATTATCATATAGTCACACATGCTGCTTTTAACATAAAACACTGTCTTCAATAACGACCAAATGAAGCAAGCTGCCACAACTGGAATAGAAAATGTTAGGATCAACTGTTTGATCCCAGGTAAAGCAAACTTTCAATTGGGTTCTGAAAATTAGGGTTTGGTTCCACTGCAAATTGAATCACTTGGTCTTTCCAAGGGGTAGGAGTTAGTAGTGGCTGAATGGATATAACAAGCCTTAAACAAATCAGCACCTTTCTCTTGTTCTGGGCTAAAACTTGCTAGTATGAGGAACTTTAAAAATGAGGCCACCAGTTTCCCATGCTCAGATCACAGAAAGGGGCCTTTCAAGATAACCACTCATATCTCCTCACTTTATAAGTGAAGAAACTGAACCCTGCAGAAGAAATCAGCTCAAGGTCCCAAAGAGTCACCAGTGGCCTCAGTCTCTGAGATGTTCCACTGTTTCTGCCACTTTTTCTTTAAATAGATTCTCAATGACTGTTACCTACTGGGATCTAAATGAAACCAACTAGGGCATAGGGATTGCTTCAGACTTAGGGTGAGAAGGTTGCAGAATGACATTCCTAAAAAGAGGACTAAACAAGTCAACAAGGTTTAAGGATCCGGGAAAAGGTCTTAAAAGCCTAACCACAGGCACAGTAAAGGGATGTTAGGAGGGTTTTGAGTCACGTCACTGCCAATGAAAGTGGGTGAAAACTTCACAAGGAACAAGAATAAAGCTATCCTAAGAACACATTGCTTTCCTTTTTCATTAGACATAGATATCTCACAGTCTACTGAAACTCCACATATCCGAAGACCAAATTCATCTTGGCTTTCCAATCTCTTCCCCAAAACCCATTCCCTTCCTTTTTATTCCCACTTCAATTGGTTGCATCACTATTGAATCTTCACGTTTTCCTCAAAATATTTTCTTCACCCTCCAAGACCCAACAATTCTCTTTACATTTCTCAATTTTCATTTACTCTTCCCTCTGCTGCAAATGTCAGTACAGACTCTCACCAACTTTGCCTCAATTATTTCATCTCATTATTTATTGTTCCCATTCTCAGCCCCTCAAGTCACATCTGAAGTGATCTACCAATTATTATTGTTTAAAACCCTTCAAAGGCTCTCAGCTGCCTATGGACTCAAGTCCAAACTCCTTAGTGTCCATGATTTGGTTCTTGCCTATCTAGCTCTACAATAATCTCATCTACCCTGGCGCTCCCACTCCCCATTCATTGTCTGCCTGTCAAATTATTTGTAGTTCCCTGGACGCATGATTTCATACCTCCTTCATGTTCTGCTTGGCATACTCTCTCTTTTCTACCTAGACTCCTGGACATCATCTTCTGGGAGCTATCTTGACTCCCAAAGCTAATTACTCACTCACAATGTGAGAATTTTCTTTCCACAAAAAAATTGTTAGACAATAGTCATTCAAAAAGAAGCTTGATCTGAATTCTCTGGTTAATAAAAAATGAAAAACTACTGGGGTAAAGTGGAAATGCACATTCCAGAATATACAAGTGCAATTCCAATTTATGTGCGGCATGAAAACTCTTTATGAGTAAACAAGAAATGGGTGAAAAATTGTAATTTATTGAAACTCAACTCAAAAAATATAAGATGCTGTAGTGTACAATATATTACACAAAGCACCCTCAGGTGCACATTCAAGTCAAGTTAAGAACTCCATATCCCTTTCCCTAGCCCTCCCACCCTGGGATCTTAGTATTTGTTCCATATACAATCATGCACACTTAATTTGAAAAAGGAAGCCCCAATATATTTTGATGTATTAATTAGCACCAAACAAGAGTACAGTTCCATTTTTTTAATAAACAAAAAACCCAATCAATAAATCAACTGGAGAGCTAATGGACTCAGCCAATAGTGCTGACATAGATATTACACATTCATGTAAATACACAGCCTATTCTACCCTAAACAATGGTATAGTTGGTTCTCAGCCTTTGTTCGAGTTGGCAATTGTCCCCAGGTTGCAGTGTTGGAGCCAGTCTGTTTCGAAAACAAAATTGCAATTTAGGAACTTCCAACGCAAAGCTCATCTGTCTTTTTTGTTGGAAACAAGTCTAAAATTGGTGTGGAAAACTTAGATCTTTCAAGGACAACCACTGGCCGAAGATAATGAAGCTGTTTTAAGGCAAGCTCTCCACAGTCTGTTAATGCTTTGTCCAATACGACCCTCAGGTTTTCCAAGGAAGGAACTGTTGTTGTCTCAGCTACTATTAAAGGTGGGATTGCAGTCAGGTTCTCATGAATTGCAGAGTCACTGGAAGAATGAGGTATGTCAACTTCAGGGTCGTTGTCATTCACCATATTATTTGCCATAACAGTCCCTGTTAAGTCATTACTGGGTTGTGAAGAATTACTTAATGTTAAGTGCTCTGTAGGCTCCCAATCATCAAAGTCATCTTCTTTCTCTTCACTTTCCTGAATAAATTTCAGAAATGAAGATTCAAATCCCATAGGCTTATAAGTCTTCAAATCAAATGACCTGGGCTGTGGGTGCTTCCTAAAATTCTCTTTGGGGACATGGGTGGAATTTTTTACAGTGTTTTCTTGCCCTGAACTTTGCTGCCCAGTTTCTGAGTCTTTAATCCTTGGTAAAGGCAGCTGGAAACTTGTGAAGTAAGTCCCATTTTCAGTCCCATCAGGATTAGGTATGGAATTTTCTATTTTACAAGGAGGAGTCTGAACTATATTACATTGTTCCAAAGAAGTGGTTTCTGAACTATGGTTGCATTTCAAAGTTCCTCTGTAGAGCAGAGTATCTGCCTCAAATACTTGGTTGCTTTCTGTACATCCCTTCTGAGCTCCATCCATTTCACCTGGATGAAGGGAATCAGTGTTCTGGACAGGTATGCTATGGTCACCTGGGGAATGGCTGTGTTTTGTGTGCTCTGATTCACAGCTTCCATCTTCTTCTTTCTTTATATAGGGCTCTATTTCAGAAGGGGGCTCCTCCTTAATTTTGGTACCGTACTTAACACAAATAACAAGATTTTCCATCTGCTGCTCTAAATAGGCACTAGTCATCTGATGGGTACGTTTGTAATGCCTCACTATGCTGCTCTCCAACTTCACCACAGATAAGCATCCTTGAACCATGCAGGGGTACTGTGTGTGCTCAGAATGCTCCACACACATATGAAGGGCTTCAGCTCTTGTTTTAAAAGTAATTGGAGCTTTCTTTTCTTTAATTAAACCACATTTTTTAGCCTTAGCATTAAATGACCTCCTGGTAGTCTGATGTTCATACCCTTCATTGAGAGCTGTTTGACATACCTTTTCACTCCGTAGTAGCCTTTCATTTGCCACTTTCTGGCTTCTAAACAGATCATCATAATAGTCCTTATGTCGGTAATAGACATGTTGAGAATAATTACTGCGATGGGTGAAAATCTGGCCACAGCCATTAAGATCACAATGAATTTCATAATCTGAATGTATTTCTCCTTCAATATTATGCTGTTCCATCAAGTGGTGCTTCAACTTGCTGAATGTATAAAAAACAGCAGGGCACTGAGGCTGGTTACAGGAAAACCTTGCCACAGACTCAGCTTCAGAAAGCACTTTAGGCTCTTCAATATGGTCTAGATTATGAGAGTCACTGCAGTGCTTAGCAAGAGCTTTGGAACACAGGAAGCGTTTGTTACATTCTTTATATTTGCAAGAAAATATCTTTTTACATTTGACAAGTTCCCTTTTGGTTCTTGCTTTGTCTTTCTCTAAGCATAATTGTTCTTTGTTGTACTGATGTACAGTTCTGTAATGG